AGTTGGAGAGTCCAAGTACGAGGAACATAAGGGTACATATCCTAAGAGAGGGTTGTTCTGAACCCTCGTGCCGGCTCTACACGGGGGACCTACTCTGCCCCCCCCCCGGTGACACAGCCATCCGCGCGATGTCCGAGGCAAATCCAGGCGACCTGGGGCCATTGAATGACTAAGTATCCGAGGCTGCTGGAGGCTATCTGGCGCCAGTCCAAGACCAGGTGCCGGGACAGAGCTCCCCCCAGGTCGTGTCCTCCGCAGGGGACCCCGGGGCCTTCCCCCAGGACCACCACTTCATCCTGAGCCGTCTTCTCAAGGATCCGGGGCCTTGCGAGGGCCCCGAGGGCCCAAAAATGGAGAGTGACATTCCCGGTCTCCCTCGGGGAGCACTTCCTCCCGTTCTCCCTCGGGACAAGCGTAACATCAGGACCCGCTCTCCCTCGGGAAGCGCTTCCTTCCGGGCGAGCCGCGGCTGCATACGCCCCTCCCTCCGACCCGTCGCTGGCCTTGCTGCTCGCGCCTCCGCCGCATCCCCGGGCCCATCTGCACCGGCCGCCGCGACCCCCGCCCTGCATTTCTTCGCCGACTGCTCTGCGCGGCCCCCGCGTGACGCGGTGTGCCACCCGCGCACGGCGGCGTGCAGCCCGGCCGCACCACGCAGGAGGCTGGAGGTGCACCAGGCGCCGAGCACAAAAAGTTGGTGCTCGGCCACGTCTGGGTGGCGGCGCAACGGGCGCGTGAGGAAGAACGCCCTGCGGGACTCGCGCGGCAACTCGAGACTCAAATTGCGTCGGCTGTGCGCGGGGTTCACGTCGGAATAGTAGTATTACGAATAATACTTGCTCTAATACTAACGATGGATATAGGACTGATAAAAATAAACATGGTAATAATATATATGTATATATATATATATTATTATCAGTATGAAGAATAATACTACTAATAATAATAATGATAATAAAAAATAATAATACAATAAAAATAACAATAACAATAGTAATAATAATGATAATAGTAGTAGTAGTAATAATAATAATAATAATAAAATTATAATAATAACAATAACAATAACAATAATAATGATCTAGCTGTGGCGCGCCACGCAAGGCCTCCAGGATGTTCCTCATGGCGAGTGCAGCACGTGGCACGACCGCCGACCGTCTCTCCCTCTGCGGGGTCGCGCAGGTGGCGGAGCTGCGCGGGCGCCGGACGGGGCTCCCCGGCGGCCCGCGACACGGGTGCTCCGCTGCTGGAGAGTGTCAGATCCTGGGCAGGCGGTCCTTCCTGAAATTTGCCCGTGTTCTTATTCGACGTTTCGACATTGGGCGAAGGCTGCGCATTTTCTTGGGGTGGAGGGCTCGGGGTGAAATCGATGTGGACTTGTGCACCTCGAGAATCGATCCGCCTTGTGATTCGCCCTGAGCAGATTCAAGCCTCGAGAATCCATCGAAACAGCATTTCAGATTTCACCCTTTGCCCTGCACCCAAAGAAAATGCTCGGGAAGGGGGGGGGACGGGGGCGGTCTGGCTCCGGACCTCTGCTTAACGCGAATGTTTGCAACAGTGCGTCCTATGGGGGATACTCCACCTGCTTGAAACAGGTTCCAGAAACAGAGCCAAGATCTACTCCATTGGGGGGGGGCAGGGGCCTGCGCCCATGGGCAAAACAATGAATAAGAAAACGACAACAAATCGCCCCGAGCCGTCAGAAGATGCTTCAATACAGCATCAGCCGCTGCTTGTGGCGGGTAGGCGTCGACGGCTCAGCGATGACAGGCAGAGCGCTCCAAACGAGCGCTGATTTTCTGAGCAGGGGCACGCGGACCGCTCTCGACCCCCCAAAACCTCCGACATCTCTTTTATGTTTCAGTGGGGGGTCCCAGAACTCTGGCCCACTTTCCGTACAACGTGGTTTAGTGAAAACGACCTCGGGCCCAAACCTGTCCCCCCCCGAAATTTCCTGGGACCAGTTTTTCGCTCCAGATCGTATTTTGTCGGTTCCAGGCCCTGGCGAGGGCCTCGAGAAACGCCGAAGATGACAGCAACAGATCTCCGCCTTGATTGTTGTCAATACGTTGGGAGCCGGGGCTCAAAAGGCGATCTCCGCTGTTGGGGGGGCACAAGAGGCTGCCACTTGGATAACCACGGGGGTTCTCAGGGGACAGGAGGGGTTTAAGCGGATGTTCAGGCAAGATATGTCTGACCTAACCTATCCCATGAGTGGGTTGCAGGTGCCCCAAGCGGCTTGCTGGGGGCAAGATCTGGGCTAGCCCCAGTACCAGAATTACATAACACCCTTAAGTCACCAGAAGCATTCTGGGGGTAAGCCCGCTCATGAGCTAGCTCAGGTCATCTATGATCCCTGGTCGCGGGTTGGCAGGGCCCCCCCACCCCAGATGGGATGGGTCCCATGGTTCCACAGGCCCCCCCCAGTCCCAGGATGGGCCTCGGAAAGACAACGACGACGACAATGACGCCGACAGAGACGCCGACTCTGACGCCGACGCCGACGCCGACGCCGACGCCGACGCCGACGCCGTCGCTGCCGACGGGCGACGACGACGTCAACGACGACGACAGGCGACAACGGGCGACGACGACGACGACGACGACGAGCCACCCCACGCCCACAGGGGGGAGGGAGAGGGGGGGCACCAGCACCCTCCACCACGCCATGCCCACGGGGCTACGACCAGGGGAGGGGCGCCATCCCACTCGCGAGGCCTCCCCGAGGCCCACGGGCGTGCCCATCCAGCGGGGGGGCGGGGCTCCATCCCATATGCATTGGGGGGGGGCGCAGCCCAGGATCATACAGTGGAGGCCAGCCCACAAGAAACCTTCCACACGAAACCCAGCCCTGAGACCCCAGGACGTCCACTGAATTTTTGTGTGAACGTCACGCCGTCCATGGCAAAGCCATCGAAACCCAAGAAACCCAGAGCACCCTGGAGGCAAGCAGGGTTTTGCTTGGCATGGGTCTCTAATCTATCTAGCCCGCCTTCACTTCCCCTCATCGACGCGTTCGACCATGGGGCCTTCGGCTTTTTCGGCGGCCTGCGGCGGCCTCTCTAACAGTTTCTGTCGGTCTTCGAGGGGGTCCGATGGTTCTTCGGGGGGGTCCGATGGTATTTTGCGGACTTCGGCAGTCTTCTGCGCGAGAACTGGATATAGTTGCGGTCAACAACGGGCCCATGATCGAACACCTCCGCTCATTACAGCCCACCACCACCACGTCCTCCAAGCAGGGCTCTTCCACACCACATGAAGCGCCGGCGCCCGCCTGCCGACGCCCTCAACGCGCCGAGGCCGCACGGGCATGCCGCAGGGGAGAGGTAGCGAGGGGGGGGACTGGAGAAACAAAAGTTGCACAAACAGAAACTTTGGGAGCTTGGGCGTTGCCGGATGGGGTGGGGGGGGCGAATCATGGGGGGAAGAGAGACGTAGTTAACCCTTTCGTCTCCCTGTTGGGCCCTGGGGTGCCCCTTTAGGGCCCCCTTAGAGTACAAGAGATGTAGCTTTTTCTTCCCCCCCACCGTGTATCGCCCCCCATTGCGCAGCACCGCGGACGGGAGGCATGCCCTGAACCCTGGATCCGCCGTACGTTTATTTGTTTTTCGATTGAGAATCGTCGGGGATGCACCCGGGACGATGCGGACGAAAAAAAAGAATTCCGCCTCAGAGGGCTAGGGCCCAGGCTCCCGCAAGGATGTGGCGGAAACAGCGACGGCAAAGCAGGGCGGCCATCGACCACAAAAGAGCTTGAGCAGCAGGGCGGAGAATCGGGGCCCTACGTGCGAGGACGCCCAAAGTGCGGCGGACCTGGAGCCAGGGCTGAGGGCAGGCTCTTCGCACAAAAATGCAACACCGCTGCACAACCAGAGCCTGCCCGAGCTCCGCGCGGACTTCCTGGGCCGGCGCAGGACACCCTTGGGGCGCGCGGAGCGCGCTGGGGACGGCGCCCGTCGCGTCGCCAGGAGGGCCCAGCGCAGATCCAGGAAATCCGTGCAGAGGGAGCTCCGAACACTTTTATGCTTACAGTGGGGGCGTTGACCTAAGGAACGCTAAATAAGGAACGAGGCCCCTTTTTCCCATCACTTAAAGTTCGATTTCCCATCGAAAACCTAAGGACAACCTAAGGCAAGCTGCGAAACAATCAAGGAACACGGAGCCCCTCCCCAACGAAAATGGTTCCTTCTTCAGGGCCCCGACTGTACGGCCATCGTGCTGCCAGTAAGGAGCGCTGCAGAAGACGCGAACGGGCGCTCCTGGCCACGGTGGGCCTGGGCCACACACCCACACACACACACACGGGCTCCGCAGCTCAACTCTCAGGCACGGCCCGAACACACGAGGCCCTCCTGAGCTCCAAACGGTCCTTACTTCAGCGTCCTGGGGGAACCGAGAAGCACCGATACCGCTACAGTCATCGGCCTGACCTAAGGAACGATAAATAAGGAACGAAGCCCCTTTCTTCCAAGGAATAACGCATAGGGAACGATGAACGAATAGTAAGTAACACATAGGGAGCGATAAATAACGCATGCAAGCCTAAGGAACGACCGAGCCCCTTTTGAAAAGCAAGCGCTCCTTACTCAAGCCGCTCACTGTACTCTCCCCTGGACCCCCTCCCCGGGGTGCGATCTGGCGAGGGCTCCGCAGCGAGCCCGGCCAGAGCGACGAGGGCCTCACGGGAGGCCGAGCCAGGCGAGCACGGGGCGAGACCGGCGGTATCGGTACCTCTTCCTCCTCGGGAGGTCCTGGCGGAGCTCCGAGCGTTTCGGAGGGGGGCCCAGGGATGCACAAAGAAATGTACAAATCCCAAGCTCCCCCAGATGATATCAGATCCTCTGCTCCCCCCCCCCCAACATCCTACATTTTCCCGTCGCTTCCTGGGACTCGACGATGACTTGCCTGTGTTTTTTGTTGGTCCCTCCTGAGTCCTATGCTTCGTGCAGCTCAGTTTGTTGACTCGAAGGCCGGAGGGCCGGCGGGCCGCACTCTCACCCGTCCAAGAACTCCAGGTGCAGGGCGATGGCCGGGTCCCCCACCTGAGCATCGTCTGACCGACACCCAGCCCCGCCGGCGTGGCCGCGGGCCCCACTGGCCGCTTGACCCCCACAGCTGGGGGTGTATACGAGACGAGGCCAGGACGAGGACCAAGTCGGGGGAGGATACACATCGAGAGCCTCTGAGATCCGGCGGCCCTTGAGGATGGCACTGGCGCCGCGGCCTTCTCAGAGCGTTCCAAGACGCTCTGGGAGCGGTCTGGAATGCTCTGGAACGGACTGACCCTCATCCTGGCCCCGTCTGGCCATCCCCGCTGGCGTGGCCTGGGCCCCACTGGCCGATTTCCCTGCAAAGATGCGGGTATGGGCTGTTCCTTCGGTTTCGAGTGGCCTATTCCCACCCGAGGTGGCGGGATGGCATTGGTGGAGCTGGGAAACCATGGCCCAGTGGGCATGGGGCCAGGATAGGCTGAACGACACCGACCACCAGGCAGCCCTCCTCCACGTGGCGCGCGTCCTGCGCGAGAGCGCAGGGCAGACAGCAGCACAGGGCGAGGCAGTCGGCCGCGTAGGTGCTGGCGGAGCTCTCCATCTTGAACCTTCTCATGGCAACTCAGGGGGCCTTCAATACCCTCCGAACTCCGTCTGTAGAATGCACTAGCGTCGAATATCGCCTGGTAATCGATGAGACAGCGCCGATGTGGCGCCGGTTAGCGTATATCCAGCGTCGATACGCAAGAAACAACCAGACTGTATGGTGGCCATCTTGCTGGTTCTTGCGGATCGACGCTGGCCGACGCTACTGGACGCTTGCCGACGCTAGATCGACGCGAGATCGATGCTAAATCGAAGCTAAGTCGACGTTAAGCCTATACACTACTCGACGCTAGCTACATCGACGCTAATCGACGCTGGATCGGCACTCTCTTTTCGATCACCAGATGCTAGCGCCACTAATTCACTCTAAAGACGGAATTCCTCCGACATACAAGGCTCCCATGATTTGCTACCGAATTCAACCTCCTGCGCAGCCTCTGGCGGAAGTAGAACAGGCCCGCAATGACGGCCACCCCGAAGATGCCGAAGGTGAGCTCCGTCATCAGGACGGCAAGCGTGGACAGCCACAGGGCGCACCAGAAGCTCATGATGCCGACCGTGTGCATGGAGTCCGCCCAGCGCACGCAGGGGCACGCCAGCGACCAGAACAAGACGCGCGGCTCCGAGCAGCAACCAAGCAGCAGGCCAGAGCTCCACTCCCTCATGTCCGCGCCACGCCGCGCGGGGTCAATCTCTGGGCGGGAGCGGCAAGAGTCGTAGTACGCCAGGGCGACAAAGCCCACCAGGGCGACCTTTGGGAAACCAGGAGGCACCGATACCTCCACTCCGCGGACCTCTCCGGGGTGTGTTCTGACCATGATTTCGAGGCGAACCCAGCGGTGGGGACGATGGCCTCACAGGAGGCCCACAACAGCGAAAACGAGGCAAATCCAGCGGCATCGGTACCTCATCCTGCGCTGAGCGGTTGCGTGATAATCGGCCCTAACCTTAAAAAGGTGACTGCCCATGTTGGGACATAGATATACATGGACAACTCTCTGCCGTTATATGGTTGATTCTGAGCTACGTGTACATCGCATCCTGAGTGGATGGACTGGGAAAGAGGCGTGTCACTCCTCTACACAAACTGTGCCACCATTTGTGGCCACCGCGATCGCCGCGGCGACCTCCCAAACCGACCCAGAGGTTTGGTTCGAGGCCGGATATCTCGCGACGATGAGACTTGGAAACAGTCTGGGAGTCCTGAACGGGTTGGGACCACAGAAAATCGGTCAGGAAGGGATGGGGCCAAATCCTTCCAAAATCGGTCCCCGGACCCCTCCAGGGCTCCACCTGGTGCAATTTTTTGCTCCAGATCTGTTTTCGACGGTCCCAGGGCCCGAAACTGGCCCCCCGAGGCAGAACAAACACAATAACCTCCTCCAACCCAGAGCCTCGAACCTCTTCCTTACCCCCCCCCTGCTGGCCAGAGCCAGTGCTGGGCGACCTTGGACCCCCGGCCGTCAGACGAAGCCAGGATGAGGATGAATTCGGCGGAGGACAAGTCGAGAATCTCTGAGATCCGGCGGCTCTGGAAAATGTCTCGGGCGCCGTGGCCCTCTCAGGGCGTTCCAGAACGCTCTGAGAGCGTTCTGGCACGCTCTGGAACGGATCGTGTCCTCGTCCCAGCCCCGTGGGAAGCAGGCTCCAAGTTCGAGGTCGGAGATCACGCCACTTCGAGACCTGCAGGACGAGCACGGCGGCCATGAGGCACAGCATCTCGCTGGTCAGGCGCCGCGTCCTTCGGTGGCAACTCATGGCATGGGAGCCTCCCACACCATCTCGTCGGCTCTTGCGAATCGACGCTTAGCGACGCTGAATCGACGCTAAATTAACGCCAAATCGACGCTGAACCGATCCTATCCCATTGACTCCCAGACGCTAATTGGCGCTGGTCGACGCTGAAGACGGACTTCAGAGGGTATACCAGGCTCCCATGGACCATGTATCTGCGCTGGACACCCCCCCCTGGCGCGCGGCGCCGCCAGGGGGGACCAGGCGCAGACCCAAAAGATCCGCGCGGAGCGCCCAAAATTATTGAGCATCGTTTAACCGATCCCTGTCCCTACCTCCGTGGCCTGGGCCCCACTGGCCAGTTTACCCCCTGAGATGGGGATATAAGCAGGTCCTGTCAGACTTCGAAGGGTATATCCCCAACTGGGGGGATGAGATGGTGGGGGTCTGGATGGGGATGGGGATGGGGATGGGGATCGGTTAAACGATGTTGATTTATGTTCGTGCCGTCCCAGAAGGGCAACGTCCTGATTTTTGTCAGCATCACGCCCCGGAAGTCCCGACCCTTTCCCCGCGACTGGCGTTTATCCTGAATCGTTCTTTGATGACGGTCTCGGGGCCCGGCGAGGGCCCCCCCCCCGAGGCCGAACAGGGACGTAAGAACCTCCCGTCGCGATTTTTGTTTTGGGGGGGGCGACGCGATCGTGCCTGGGGCTTTTGCTTGTTAGCATTCTTCTTCTTCATCTTCTTATTCGTCTTCTTATTCCCAGTTTTTTATCATTATTATTACTATTCTTCTTCTTCTTCTTCTTCTCCTTCTTCTTCTCCGCGCGTCCCGCGGCCCTCGGCCGCCAGGCCCCGGGCAAACTCCCGCACGGCCGCGCGCAGCTCCGCCCGTGCGCCCCGCCACGCCTGCCCCGGCCGCGGCCCCGCGGGCCCCGCGGGCTCCGCGGGCTCCGCGGGCTCCGCCGCGCCGCCGCGCGCCACGGGCGCCTCCTGAGGAGGCAGAGCAGGGCCAGGGAGCCCAGGGACACACACGCACGCACGCACGCACGCACGCACGCACGCACGCACAGACACACACGCACGCACACACACACACACACACACACACACACACACACACACACACACACACGCACGCACGCACACGCACGCACACGCACACACACACACAGACACAGATACAGACACAGACACAGACACAGACACAGACACAGACACACACACACACATACACACATACACACATACACACACACATACACACACAGACAGCAAATACACGCCCAGGCCCCCTCGCGGCACGGAAAAAAAAGATCGTGACAGGGGTGTTTGCTCGCCATTTTCGGCCTCCAGGGGCCCTCGCTGGGCCTCGGGGCTGTGAGAGAACGGCTCAGGATGAAAGACCAGTCCCCGGGAAAGGGTCCAAGCGCCTGGAGGTCACGTCACGAATCCGCGGATTTTCTGTATTTTCTCATTCGTTTTCTTGATAGTCGTCTTCCCCCCCACGTCACATTCTTTTCCACATTTTTTTCCAATCGACGATGATTTGTGCTTGTGTGCTTTTTCCCCTTTTATCATGTTAAGAAAATCCCTTCGGGCACCGTGTGGGCCCAGCTCTGGAACAGGAACTTTTTGCTGCGAGCCCGGGGGGAAGTGAGGAGGGGCGGGCCTTATCAGGAGGCTCGGAAGTCCCCAGGCCTTCTGAGAAGAGTTCTGAGCCTCCCCCGAAGACGCAGAAAACTCCTCAGAAGGCACGAGAGCTGCTGAGAAGACCAGCCGCCATCTGGAGAGGCCTTCTCCTTTTCACTTCCCCCCCTCGCTCGCCGCCGGAACACACCGTAGACGGACCGAGACACTCTCCGACCCTGTACTGCGCCAAGCGCAACGGCCGCGTTGTCTTTAGAGGCCTCCACCCCGAATGCGCCTACACATCATCCAGCCGTGGCGACGAGGGCCCTCCAGGCAGAGCACCCCTGCACCTGTCCCAAACACCCGACGTCTCGATGTTTGCCGGACGCGGGCCCCCGACCTCTCGACATCTTCCCCAGGACCAGCTTCTCCTGGCGTGTAGCGGCTCTCTTCCGCAAATCTACCAGACCCAACCGCCCAGAAAATCATGATCCCCAGTGCGAAGACGGGGACCTCCGTGAGGCCCCTCCTGCATCGTGTCCACCAGGGTATTGGAGGGCCTCCTGTGCCCAGTGATCCTTGGACGACCACGAGGCCCGGCGAGGGCCCCGAGAGGCCGAAGAGGCGGCGAAACGCGCCCCGTCGGGGGGACCCGCCCGCGCGCACCGCCGCGACGCTGCCCCCGCCCCCGCCGCCGCTCAGCGTCCTCCGCGAGCCGCGGCGCCGCCCGCGCCGCACGCGCCGCCGCGCCGCGCCGCCCGCGGGCCCGCGCCGGGCCGGCCGCGGCCGCGGCCTCGGCCTCCGCCCGCCCGCGGGCGGCGCCGGGCCGCGGCGGGGCCTCGGCGCCGCCCGGGGCCGGGGCCGAGGCGGGCCGCGGGTGCGCGGCGGCAGGCCGCGGCGGGCCCGCGGTGGCCTCGGCGTCGGGCGGCGGGTGCCTCGGCGGCGCGGGCCGCGGCACCTGTGCGGCGGCAGCTCGGGGGGGGGCCGTCCCGTGCCACCCTGCTGGCTCCTGCGGGGCGACGCTGGATCGACGCTGGATCGGCTCGGGTCGAAGCTAAGTCGGCGCTCCCTCGTCGATCACCAGACGCCAACGCAGGCCAGTGCACCCCCAAAAACCTAAATTCTGAGGGGTATTCAGTCGGGGGTTGCCAAAGGTGCCCCTGGCCAAAGGTGCCCCCAGCCTGTCGCTCCATTTTGGAGTACCTGGGTACCTGGGGCCCTTTGGGCCTTATTAGGGGTGCTCTGGAGGCCGTGGGGGCCTCCTTGGAAACCCTGGGGGCCTCTGGGCCTGGGGGCACCCCTGGCATCACCAGAAGAGAATCCGAACTCGAAGAGAACCGCCCGGATCGAAACAAAAAGCACGTTGTCGGAGATCTGGCCCCCCCTCCATCATCCCCCTGTTCCTCCTCAATTGCACTGCCGTAGCCAAAGACAACTTCTTGACGTGTTGGGCGGGGCGCACAGCGCGTTTGGCTAGGAGACTTCCCCACAAATGATGGCCATGAAACTTGACCTTCCCACACGGCTCCAGGCATGGGCAGCGGGTGGCTTCAAAAAACTGACTCCAGCCCAGGCCCCCTCGCGCCGTGAAAAATCACATCGCCGGAGATCTGGCTCCCCCTCCACCATCCCCCAGTTCCTCCGCCACTGCCCTGCCCTGCCAAAACTAGCCTGGCGAAGAACCCCAACCATACAAAGTTGTGAGCACCGCAATTGTGAATACGATCTGAGGGGAAGCTCCTTAGCCCGCAAGCGGGCGGTGCCCCTGGGGCCTACAGTGGAGCTCCCTGTAGAGCCACGGAAAAAAGTGTGAAGGGCGTGCCGTAGCGGGAGTGTCGCCCAAATGCGGGCTGCGCCACTGGGGCCGTAGGCAGACCTCCCTGTGGCCACGAAACGTGTGAGGGGTGTGCCGGAAAAAATGGAGTCGCCCACATGCGAGCTGCGCCAGTAGGCCTTAGGTGGAGCCCCCTATCGGGCCAGGAACTGTGTGAGGGGCTTGCCGAAACTAGGGTGTCGCCCACATGCGAACGGTGCCACATGGGCCTTAGCTGGAGCTCCATATGGGGCCACGAATCGTGAGAGGGGTATGCCGAAACGGGGGCGACGACCGCATGCGAATGGCGGCACTGGGGCCGTAGATGCAGCTCCCCGTGGGGGCCACGAAACGTGTGAGGGGCGTGCAGAAACGGGGGCGACGCCCACATGCGAACGGTGCCACTAGGGCCTTAGCTAGAGCTCCCTATGCGGCCACGCCGAAATGGGGATGACGCCCACATGCAAACGGTACCACTGGGGCCGTAGTTGGAGCTGCCTATGGAGCCACAAAACGTGTGAGCAGTGTGCAGAAACGGCGGCGACGCCCTCATGCGAACGGTGCCACCTGGGCCTTAGCTGGAGCTTCCTATGGGGCCACGACGCGTTTGAGGGGTGTGCCGAAACGGGGGCGACGACCGCATGCGAATGGTGCCACCTGGGCCAAGCGTGTGAGGGGTGTGCCGAAACGGGGATGACACCCACATGCAAACGGTGCCACTGGGGCCTTCGCTGGATCTCCCTATGGGGCCACGAAACGTGTGAGGGTATGCCAAAACGGGTGTGACGATGCCGGTGACGATGACGATGACGATGCTGATGCTGACGGTGATGATGATGATGATGATGATGATGATGATGATGATGATGATGATGATGATGATGCTGATGATGCTGATGATCATGATGCTGGTAATGATGGTGGTGATGATGATGCTGATGTTGATGATGCTGCTGATGACGATGACGATGACGATGACGATGATGATAATGGTACTAATGATGGTGATGCTGATGATGATGCTGGTGTTGATGATGAGGCCGATGGTGATGATGATGGTGAAGACGGTGATGGCGATGCAGATGGCGATGATGATGCTGCTGATGCTGATGCTGGTGCTGATGATGATGCTGATGATGCTGCTGATGATGCTGATGATGATGATGAGGATGAGGATGCGGATGAGGAGGAGGATGATGATGCTGCTGATGGTGGTGATGATGATGGCACGCGGGGAGCAGGGGCAGGCATGGGAGGAGGGAGGAGGGGGAGGAGGAGTGAGGAGTGAGACGCGGGGCGCTGTCCTTTCAAAACAGGGAGGACCCAACACCGCATGATGGTTGGGACAAAAGCGCCTCGAGGTGCTGGCGGGGCGCCCTGGGCGTTTAACCAGAGACTTCCCCGCGACTGATATACAGTGCGCGCGCGGCCGCGAGAAATCCTCGCAAGGAACCCATCCCTGAAAACACGCGCACAAGGTGCACCTGAAGGGACACCCGAAGCACCCTGAACGCAGCGGCGTCTTCAACGGCTGCGGGAAATCACCGCGCGGCACGCGTCGCAAAGAGACCAAGGGTACCCCGACGAACAGCATACGGTTTCTTGATGCGCCCCCAATGTAAAACGTGACCTTCCCACACGGCTCCAGACAGCTTGGGCCAGGGGAACTTCTAGCAACATCCGATCCAATGGGGGGGGCGGGGGGGAGAGGGCTGGACTTCAAAGGAGGCGAAGGATGAGGAGGATAAGAGTAAGGACGACGAGAGGGGCCACGTTGAGAAGGAGGAGGGGGAGGAGAAGGAGGAGGAGGAGGAGGAGAGGAGGAGGAGAAGGAGGAGGAGGAGGGGGAGGAGAAAATGGGAGGGGATAGTGAGGGAGGGGGGGAGGAGGGGGAGGGAGGAGGGAGGCAGGAGGGAAAGAGGGAGGAGGAGGAGAAGGAGGAGAGGGAGGAGAAGGAGGAGGAGGAGGAGGAGGAGGGAGGAGGAGGAGGAGGAGGAGGGGGTGGAGGAGGAGGAGGAGGAGGAGGAGGAGGAGGAGGAGGAAGGAGGAGGAGGGGGAGGAGGAGGAGCAGGAGGAGGGGGAGGAAGCGGAGGGGAGGGGGGGAGGAGGAGGGGAGCGGGAGCGGAGGAGGAGGAGGAGGGAGAGGAGGAGGAGGAGGAGAGGAGGAGGAGGAGGAGGAGGGGAGGAGGAGGAGGAGGAGGAGGAGGAGGAGGGGAGGGGTTGAGAAGGAGGGAGGAGGAGGAGGAAAAGGAGGAAAAGGAGGAGGAGGAGGATGGAGGGAGGAGGGGGAGGAGGAGGAGGAGGAGGAGGAGGAGGAGGAGGAGGAGGAGGGAGGAGGAAGAGGAGGAGGAGGAGGAGGAGGAGGAGGAGGAGGAGGAGAAAGAGGAGAGCGAAGGAGGAGGAGGAGGAGGAGGAGGAGGAGGAGGAGAGGAGAAGGACCAGCGTAAACCCAAGAGTCATCAACGATGTTTGAATACACCCTCCGTCCCCAAGCTCCACTGGAGGAAAGCCTCGTTGGAAGGCACCCTATGAACTGGAGCATGCCAACAAAATGTTCTCGGGATGCCAACGTCACGGATCAAACTGACTGTTGCGTCTTGACGATCCTGAATCGTGCCAGAAAGCCATCCCTGGGACTTCAACACCGCGATTCAACGTAACTCTGACAGCCTCATAATCCAGAATCTGTCCACAATGCCATTTCTAGTACGTGGGTCAATTCCTGCAATATGTTAAAAAGAATGCGCGCGGCGCTCAGGCGAAAACCACGTTTTGAAAACGACCCGCACTCAATCCGTGAAATTCTTGCAGCTGTTTAATCAAATGTGCGCGGTGCTGAGGCGAGAGCCACATTTTGAAAACGACCCGCACTCAATCCGTGAAAATCTTGCTCAATATTGAAACGAATGCGCGCGGCGCTGAAGCGAGAACCGCATTTTGAAAAACACCCGCCCTCAATCCGTGAAGCTGTTGCCACGTTTTAAGCTTCAGGGTCATTAGTGGTGAGGAGATCTCAGGCGAAACGCACAGCCCGCCGTAAAAACTCGCCTCGGGGTGCGACAGGGAGAAGTTACGTATCAGGAAGAGGCATAGAGGAGGAGGAGGAGGAGGAGGAGGAGGAGGAGGAGGAGGAGGAGGAGGAGGAGGAGGAGGAGGAGGAGGAGTAGGAGGATGAGGAGGGGAGGGTCTGCTGCCGACCGGCACCTGCAGCAGCGCATTCTCCTCCGCGGCACAGCGTGGCGCCGCGCCCGCGCGATGCGCGCCGGGGGGCGGCGCTCCCACGGGGCAGCGCTCCTCGCCGTCCTCTCGGGGCACTGTTGGACGCCTCCAAGACAACGCCAGTCTCCTCATCATCATCCTCCTCCTCCGCCTCCTCCTCCTCATCCTCCTCCTCCTCCGCCCGCGGCGAAGCACCGCGGGGCAGGGTGGAGCCGCGCCGGGAGAGGGGCAGACCTTCATCAGACGGGCCCCCCCGAGTAAGACGAAGCCATGACGAGGATTAATTCGGGTGGGGATGAGTCGATAATCTCTGAGATCCGCCGGCTCTGGAGAATGTCTCGGGCGCCGCGGCCTTCTCAGAGCGTTCCAGAAACGCTCTGAGAGCGTTGCAGAAGGCTCTGCGACGGACTGCATCCTCGTCCTGGCCTCCCGTCCGAGACAGCGCAGCACACCCCCGCATGGCACCCCCAAGGGCAGCAGGGGGGAAGAAGGGAGTCGAGGAGCAGGAGGTCGGCAGGGGACCCGAGATGCAGCTGGAACAGGGGCGAGATCACGGGCATGTGCTGATGGGCCTGTTTTCCACCACCACCACCACCAGAAGTTGGATGGGGAGGGGGTCCTCCTCCTCCTCCTCCTCCTCCTCCTCCTCCTCCTCCTCCCGCCTCCCCCTCTGCGTCCTCCTCCTCCTCCTCTGCGCCCTCCTCCTCCTCCTCCTCCTCCTCTTCCTCCTCCTTCTCCTCCTCCTCCGTCCCCCCATCCAACTCATGATGATGGTGGTGGAAAATACGCCCATCATGTGCACCTTAGTGTATATTTCACCACGAGTAGCCAACCAACCACAAGTAATCGCCATGCAGGCGAGAGAGCACGATCCCCGAGTAGATTGCACGGACGTCGCGAGCGCAACGGCTGCTGGACAGGCGATCTCGACCGGACAGTCCCGGGGCTCCCTCTCCCCCCTGTGGGACGTTCTGAGGCCCTTTCCAGAACCACTACGAGCACCATCTCTAGAGAAACCGTGAGGGAAAAATCACACATGGTGCAGAAATCACGACGGGAGGCGTTTGCCCGTATTCGGCCTCCGGCCCCGCGCGGGGGGGCCCGAAGAGGGGCCCCAAGAGGCCGAGATCGACGAAGCAGGCCCGGAAGGAGACAACTACGAGAGGAACAGAACCCGCAGACATGCGAGGCCCTGATTTTTCCAGAGCGGCGTCCCCGGAAGTCCCGACCCCTTCCCTGGGACCGGTTTTTCATCATCCTGCGTCGTTTTTGGACGGTCCCGAGGCCTGGGGAGGGCCCCCCGAGGCCGAAAAGGAACAACAACCTCCCGTCCTGATGTTTTCTCACGGCGCGATCCTGTCTGGGAGCACGACGCCTCGAAGGTCAGCGCGGGTTCCTTGGATCGGCGCCGGACCCCCCGCGCTGGCGGCGCGGAGCGCGCCAGAGGCGGCGCCAGGCGCCCGAGGACGCACGTCCGTGGCGTTCCGTGGCCACTCGGAGCACACACGCGTCGGCCGAAGGAAGTTGGGCAACACGTGACGTTAGGAAAGCGGAGTTGACGCAGATGGGGCTCAGGCCCTCCCAGAAAATACAACAACACGCAGCAAGAGCAGATCGACTCTCGGAGCAGGCGGGCGCCTGAAGCAGATCAGGACCTGTCATCCAAAAAAGCCTACTTTCAACAACCGGCGTGTCACCGCCGTCGGAGAGATGAGCCCTCAGGCCCCACGCCGCAGCCTCTTTCGTAGCAGAAGCCCTCAGACCATTCGAAGCTGAAGGCCTCCTAGATGGGGTCGAAGTAGATGGGGTCGGACTTACGGTGGAGGTGGTGGAAAGTAAGCCCATCATCGCGCCGCATAGCCGATGCATCGCGCGCCGACCTCGCATCGGGAAGAGCTGCTGGCGCAGGAGCCAGCAAGATGGCACGGGAAGCTCCGAACCCCGCTCCCCGCTACCCGCCTCTCCGCCCTCACGGCTGCACGCGGCGATCCTCCTCCTCCTCCTCCTCCTCCTCCTCCTCCTCCTCCTCCTCCTCCTCCTCCTCATCATCATCATAATCATCTCATCATCATCATCACCATCAACATCATCACCATCACCATCACCATCATCATCATCATCATCATCATCATCATCATCATCATCATCAGCATCATCACCATCATCATCATCATCATCATCAGCATCATCATCATCATCATCATCATCATCATCATCATCATCATCATCATCATCATCATCATCATCATCATCATCATCATCATCATCATCATCATCATCATCATCATCATCATCATCCATCATCCATCATCCATCATCATCATCATCATCATCATCATCATCATCATCATCATCATCATCATCATCATCATCATCATCATCATCATCATCATCATCATCATCATCATCATCATCATCATCATCATCATCATCATCATCATCCATCCCCCTCCTTCCTCCGCCGCCTCCTGGCAGCCCTCGATCCTCGAGACGACGACGACGGCGGCGGCGGCGGCGCCCCGCGGCGGGAAGCCGTCCTCGCCGCGCCCGAGCGCGGCGGCCACCGCCAGTGCGGCCAGCCACCGCACGAGGAGGACCCGCGGCCTTGCGCCCCCGCCGGGCGGCATGGGGCCGTGCGCTGGGCCGACTTCCCACCACCACTACCAGAAATTAGGTAGGGGAGGAGGAGGAGGAGGAGGAGGAGGAGGAGGAGGAGGAGGAGGAGGAGGAGGAGGAGGAGGAGGAAGAGGAGGAGGAGGGGGAGGAGAAGGAGAGGAGGAGGAGAGGAGGAGGAGGAGCGCAGGAGGAGGTGGAGGAGGAGGAGGAGGAGGAGGAGGACCTCCTCCTCCTCCTCCCGTCTCCCCCCTCATACCTGTGGTAGTGGAGGCGGAAAACGGGCCCATCACCGTCCGCTGGGAGGGGGGCCGCGCCGCGGGCCGGGCGGCCGCTTCGGGCCGCTGGAGGGAAGATGTTCTTTTCCTCGCAGAAGCCCGAGATCCTGGCGTTCCAACTTTTCTGCGCAGCGGGCGTGTTCGCCCGGTTTCGGGCCCCGGGGCCCTCACGGATCGATCCGGCTCGCACTCTGACGCAGAAAGATGGGATCTAGGGTACTGGGGGTATTTTTGACGACGTTGCATTTTTTCGTCGCGTCGGCTCTCAGCGAACCTCACTGGTGACAGAAGAACGTCGCGATGCAAGGCGAGGGCCGCCGAGAAGGACGACGGGACGAGCACGATGTCATGATGAGATGGGCTCACGATGCGCTTCAGGAATTCCGGAGCACACGCGTGTCGGAAGAAGTGGGTCGAAACATGAAGTAGGAAGGCGTTGATAATATAATGGGCTTCCGCGCGCCTGAGAAGGATGGAAAAAGAAAACCAATCGATCCTTGAAGTAGGAGGGCGCCTTAACGTGGATCGGGACCTCGGAATCCGGAAATGCACACTCTCAAAGACCGACGGGTCTCTAGCAACCCTTGAGTCTGGCGCCTGTGCGGAACACCGGGGGAACTCTGGAAAGCCGTGGAGAAGACGTGGGAAATCTGGGAAAGTCGCGGGAAACGTCGCGGGAAGTAGATTGGGATCTGGGACACCGTGCCGCACCTTGGTGAGGAGGAGGAGGAGGAGGAGGAAGGAGGAGGAGGAGAAGGGGGAGGGAGGGAGGATGAGGAAGGAGGAGGAAGGAGGAGGAGTATAAGTAGGAGTAGGAGTAGGGGTAGGAGTCAAGCTAGGCCAGCTCGAGCGAGTCAAGCATGGCATGCCCACTCCCACCCGCCCTCCCACAACATAAGAAGCAAAACTGGCACAACTGGGGGCCGAAGTCACACCGGCCAGCCGGTTTGGTACAGCTGATGCGGCCGCGATGGCGGTTGCCGACGGGAACTGGCGAGCGCGTGTTGAATGCCGCGCACGCATTGCCAGACGAGTCGAGAATGGCCCGGTACACCGCAGGAAGCCAGAGGTGGCCGGAGGAAGCCCGACGGTCTGACAGGACACCCCAAAGCATTTTTGTGAAAAAGCATTGGGTTTTTGATGTTTTTATGTTGAAATGCTTGCAAACACACGGTGTTCGGTAGGATTCTGACATGAACGCGCGAGTGTGCTCTTTGTGGTATTTTTTGCACAGGATTCGCGGCCTGGGTGCATGACAGAGCATCGCGAGTGCACCGCGCGATGACGTGAAATCGCTGGATTTGACCGAATTCTTAAGATTCCTATGGTTTTCCTATGATTTCAGCAAGAGAGCCCGGGCGGGAAATTTGTACATGTTTTGTGAAGAAAAAAAATTGGGTTTTTGATGTTTGTATGTTGAAATGCTTGCAAACACACGGTGTTCGGTAGGATTATGACATGAACGCGCGCGTGTGCTCTTTGTGGTATTTTTTGCAATGGATTATCGCCGTGGACGACAGGACGTCCATGTCGAAAGGAAAAAAACAAGACAAATGTTGATTTTGTATTGTTTTTTACAGGTTAGGATGGGACCACCCGGATGCGGCCCCTATCGGCCGGCCTGAGGGGGGGAGTAGGAGTATATTCGAATAAGGAATAAGGATCGGAGTAGGAGTAGGAAGAGAAGGAGGAGAAGGAGGAGAAGGAGGAGGAATGATGAGGAGGAGAATTTGTTTCCACCGCAGGCGCACACACCAATTCCATGTGTCTAGTCCGTTCTAAGCATCTCAGCGAGCTCTGGGCAACGCGCAGTCAGTCATGCAAAGGGCAGGGGAGGGGCAGCAGCAGAGGCAGGGCAAAGAGAAGCGGCGGCGGGCACTCTGCTCCGAGTGTACAGGACCCCTGGCGGGCGCGCGCCCCCCCAAGGCACGCCGTCCAAAAGGGGATCACACACTCGAGCATCCTTCCCACGCCACACTCACTCCTCGGCTGACCGAGGGCCCAACCCACAGCGCAGCAGGCAGAAGCAGACAAAAGGGGCACGCCCCAAAAGGAGAACCCAACACACAAACCGAGGGAACAGCAGACAGCAGGCCTCCACAGTGCCACGAACTTCGTCGGGAACCTGAGGGCGAGAGGGGAGCGCTCTCTCGCGCGGAGCGGCAGCCGGGGTGCCTCGAACTTCGTCGGGGACCTGAGGGCGACGGCGGGGCGCGGCAGAAGGGGGTGACCTCCTCCGCGCCAGACGCAACGGGTGTCTGGAGGCGCCACGGCTTGGCGTCGCGGGAAGGCCTGCCTACCCTACAGGAGCGACGCTCCATCGACGCCCGAGCGAACCAGACCGTTCCGCCCGTCAGAGAACCTGTAGCTCAAGGACAGCAAGAGCGGCGGGGCAGGCAAGAGAGGCGGGGCGGCCGCGGGGCGGGCGGCGGAGAGAGGCTGGGGGGCGGCGGCGCGGCAAGAGAGGCACTCTCTCTCACGAGCAGTCCACCGCAACTGACAGCATGCCTCTCCCAAGAGAATGCCCGAAGCGGCACCTCACCATCTTCGCCTGCAAGCGGAGAGGGTCACATGGAGCACAGAGCAGTGCCCCTAACCCAGGCGACAACGCGGGGCCCTGAATTAACCAAGAGACGAGACAGAGCGGAGGGAAAGCACAAAAGAAAAAAAAAAAAAAACCTCGGAAACCCAGTCAGCCAACCGAGAGACCCACCAGGGTCACATCTAACTCTGACAGCATCATGCGTGGACCTATACCTAGGGGGGGCACAGGGAAAAGGGTGGACAAAGAAGGGGGACACGGCCAACCCAGGAGGGGAGGGGCACGGCAGGAGGAGCAGGAGCGGCAGCAGCAGCATCATTCAACCGAAGCACACGCAACGCCTCGTTAAGCTTGGGGTGCCGACGGGGCAACTGCCGAAGCCTGGCTTTAATAAGAAATTCCCCCGGCTGGGCCGAGCCAGTCCTGCGAGCGTTATGCGCGGCCAGAAAACAATCAATTCGGGCGCGCCCCACTAGGTCACGTGACCGCCCCCACTGTGGCCCCAGACAACACAGAGTGAGGAGCCAATCCTCACCCGTCAGAGCTGCGGTCCAAGGCCTCAGAAGTCCGCCACGGGGGAATATGTCAATCAACCCAGCCTTCAACTTGGGGCACACGCGATAATGCCTCAGATCGTCGTCAGCCGCTTCCAGAGGACACCCAAACGCGCAGCCCACCACCGTGGTATGCAGACGACTGGAGGTACAGACTCCTCGGCAGAGCACTCTAAGGACCCCCGTGACGGGGTGCATCGCGCTGTCCATCTCAACTTTACGCATCCTCTGGACAAACACCTGAAAGTCAGCTACCGTAAAACGGCCGGGACCCACCCACTTGGACACCCTCTGAACCATAGTGCGGAGGGGAACAGTGGGGTCTCGGAGCCCTCTGAGCTTGCGCATCGCTTTCTTCTGAAGGGATTTCTTGGGGATGGGTCCCAGGGTCGGGATCGAGAAGTTGCCTACTTCAGTCACCGTGGCCCTGATCCAGGAAGACTTCCACCAGGGCCAGCTCAGGCGAGCAGGGAAACCGTCAACGACTCCATCTCATACTGGACAGCATTAATACTGGGGCAAGACATCAACACCCGTAACTTGATAGCCTTCGAAAAACAATCGATGTCCAAACATACTAAAGAGGCCCCCAACGATCGCATGCCCGTTAGCATCTCCCTTGAGAAGGCATGGCGGGGACCAGCAGCAATCACCTGTAGGGCCTCATTATACGCTTTCCGAAGAGCCGTGGTCACTGGACAGAGTTGTAACTGGTATGCCAAAATCGACATGCAATGCAAGTGGAAGAGGCGAATGGTCTGTGGAAGCCCCAGTCCAAGCCCACGAAGCCTCCGAAACGTCATCCAGAACTTGGGGATGGTGTTGCTCCATGCTCTGTCCAAAGCCCCAGGCCGGAGCCAGAATCCCAAGTATAAAACAGCGCGAACAAACCCGATGCGGTGGTACTCACTCCCCTTGGCTCGAAGGTGGGCAACTAACCTATCAGGATCAAGCGAGCCGATCACCAATACCTTACATTTGGGAATGTTCAGCCCAAGTCCCACGGCATGTTCCAATTTCCGAAGGAGCGAGAGCGTCGGCTGGAGGTCAGTCAGGATGTTGGGAAGGCAGAAAGAGAGATCATCCGCGTAGGCTCTGATCCGAGGGACATGGCCAGTGAGCTTGGCCCTCATCCAACGCAATACTGGGTTTAACGCATAAGCGAATAGAAGCATTGAAGCAGGGTCACCTTGCCGCACACTACGCCCACCGAAAACGCAATACCAGTAGTCCCAGGGAAGTCGATAACAGCCACACTGTCACGGTACAACTCACGAAAAAAACCACAAACCTCGCCAGAAACACCCATAGCCTCCAAGACCGCCAAGATCCAGGATACGATCAGAGAGGGGAACGCAGCCTTAAAGCCCGTGAAAAGAATGCCCGAGCGGTCCCCACCAGGAGATTGTTTTTTTATTCTGGCCGATAACGCTCGTTACCCGGGGGGGGGGGGGGGGGGGTCGTGCCCCCCGGGCAACGGTAACGCTTGGGCTGGGCGGGGTATGGCGAGGCAGGGGCGCTCTGCGATCGCCATAGTATGCGCGCGAGCAGCACTCTCTGCCTGAGAACACCACAGTGGCTTGCGATTCGACGACGACGACGTCGACGACGACGTTGTTTTTGTGCCTTTGTCGGACTCCGGAGGCCGTTTTTCGGGCGCCGTCGACGACGACGACGACGATTCGAGTACAAGCGCAAAGCCCGCAAGCACCAGCATCGCGCATGCGAGCGCCGCAATGGCCTGCGAGCGCCCACAGTGCGCCTGCGACCACCACACCACAGTGCGCATGCCTTCGGGCACCAGCACGTTGGAGGGGAAGACCGAGACCCCCCCCGCGCACGAGCGTTACCGTTACGGGGGGGGGGGGGGGGAGAGGCCCGGGCAACGAGCGTTACCCCCCAGAGGATAAAAAAACAATCTCCAGTAAGCATCTGACGAAGATCCCACCATTCAACCTCAACCACGTTGTCAAGGA